GTTATGTGTCTTACAAAAATTCCAAAACAAAGCACATTTTATATAACTAATATACTCTAATAATAATGATGTAATTAAAATATATCCAGCATTAAGAAGGAAAAGAAGGGGTCAACCTATTGTTTCCGGTGTTGGTTCCTACATAAAATGACTGGAAAGTTCTCAAATGATGTGAGATTAAACCAGGCCTGCAAAATGAAAGGCACTAGTTCTGTGAACAATGAGAGGGATGCAGGCAAAACAAAAGCTTGCATCGAGGAGCCAAAATAAGAAAAACATTTTGGAATGTTTGATAAATGTTTTAGGACATTTTCAAGACAGAGGAGTGATGAAAATGTAGCCAAGTGCGGCCTAACAGTACTTAAAACACAGCGCTGGATTTTGGTAACCCCCCTTTTCAGGAGGGCATTAGGAAAAAGAGTATGTCTATCAGATAACAGAGTAAGTGGAATGAAAGAGATTTAGAGATCATAGAAATCACACCATCAGAGAAATAAAAGAAGGAACTGCGTGTTAAATATCAACAAAATGATTTGGGTGGCCAAGAGTGGGTAGTTGGCACTGTCGTACTGTCTCTGAAAGGCTGGCATGGGAAAGAATGATTTGATTTGTTCAAATCAATACAAATAGCCAAGAGGGGGAGTTATGGAAATAAAATTTGGCTTTATATAAAGAAAAAAGTTCTAATAATTTTACCTGTTCCACAAAAGAATCAACTCCCTTTCACTCGAGAGAATTGCAATAATCAAGCGGAAGCCCTGCCAAGTACAATTTGTGGGAGATTTCTTTCTTATTCTAGTCCAGATTAAATGACACTTCAAAGTCCATCAAACTCCTAGGTGCTACAGAAATATAATTCAGCTATATCTAAAACAAATGGTTACAATATGGCTTGATTCTTAAGAAAGTGGGTGCTAGGAATTCAATACCACGGGCAGTATTCCCACACAGGAACCTACTTTGTATTTGTAAAAGCATCAACGTCAAAAGTGAGATTACTAATCAGATACAATTTCCAACAAAAGTGCCTGTGCACAACTTATTCTTCATAAAAATTCCCGAAAAGATCCTGAGCCCCATATCTTATACATGTTGTACTTATATTTCCTTGAATATGGGGCTTGATAAAACATATCCTAATATGAGAAAATGAAAAAATGGAAATGAAGTGTTTGTAAAAGGGAAGGGGAGGAGGGGTGAAGGGACGGCAGGGACAAGGGGGAAAAATGAGAACCAAGACCTGTCATGTAAAGGTACAAGATCCCAATGATGAATGTAACTGTACCGTATACCTAAAATGTACCAATAAACTCAATGAGGAAAAAAAATCCTACATTCATAGATCGCTATAGAGTTTACAGAATGTCTTTGTCTCATGTAATAATACTCAATGTGTAGTAAGTAACTTTCACACTCTGAAATCTAAGATGGATTATTTGACATATTATTTTATATATTCATTTGGTTTTTTTATCCCTTGCCTTTATATTAAATGCTGTGAAGGTAGAGAGTTTTGTGTTTGGTGTACTACTCTATTTGTATAATTTAGAAAAAGGCCTTTTTGACATATAGGCTGTGCTTGACAGATGTTCCTTTAATTGATCAATCATATATAACTATTTTAATAGCTTGACTAAAATCGCACAGCCACCAGGATTTTGTATACAGATGGCCTGATTGAAAAGGCTGAATTTAAGGCCATTCTGCTAAGGAGGAAAATTTAATACTTACAGAATGAAGATATGGTATCTGGTTCCTAGATATCCTATTACCCTATGGTAAGTAAGGCTCGAAAGTAAGAGAGGAAAGAATGAAAATGGTTGATAGCAAATTATCCAACCCAGCCCACAACCATCCTGAAAGAAAAGACCATTTTTGTTTGGCTTTAATTTGTTTTACTTTTACAAAACTTTGCCCATCATTTGTTTCTAATCTTTTAGAAGTATAAGTTTGCTGAATTTGATCCAAGTCATTTTTTCATTTTTTAAGAAGGAAGAACATCATATTTTTCTCCTCATCAAATCTAGTGCTTTTATCTTTTGTCTTAGTTTAGAGCTGATTTCCATGTTTACTCATGGTTTCCTTTGTTTTCCCTATTTTTCTTTGTGGATTATTGTTTTTTAGCTTTTATGTAATATACTGTAAGGCTGACTTTATGTTAAAAATATAGTTAAAATCTCACAAAAATAAATAGTAGCTATTTTTTCTCTCTTGTCTAATATGAAATAAATAGCAGATTTTTGTTTACATGTTTCAATTCTCCAAGAGTTTCTCAAGTTTTGTTGACATAAGAGTGACTTGTAGACCCAAATCATATTTCTTGTTACACTATGCATCTTCTCTTTAAGTAATTATTTTTTACATTAAACCTTCTGTTTTATAACATATTTGGAGCAATTATTTAGCACTAATGCAGTATCTCATTAGTTCCCTGCTCACTGTAGTCTTTTTCCCCCCATATTTCTCTATTCTTGATTATTTTGTTTCGTTGCTTGGTCAATTGCTCTTTGAATGATTCATTAGCATCTAAGCATATGGGAGTCTCTGGATACTGAGAGTCTTTGAGATGTATTTGCACAACAATAACATCTTGGCTAATAAGGAATGTGGGGGTTAAAGCACTTCTTTCTCAAGAGTCCTCCAGTCTTACCTGCATTGTCTGCTGTCATATTTAGAAGGAGGAAACTGGTAGGGATGTGTTAAGATGAGAATGGCTCTTCTGCTCCTATGATCTTTTCACCTAATTCTTTCAAGCAAAACTCAACACTAAAGACAGTAGTTTCAGGCAATGTTTATGTTTTGTTTTGTTTTGTTTTTACCTTGCAAGAAAAATACAACGCAGTGTGCCAAGATCTGACTGTTTTTCCTCCTTTTGTGCCTGTGTAGCCAACTGTATCCCCAAGACTACATTGCATAAACATTAACCCTATTTCCTTTCTGTTTTTGTCATCATTGGGACCTTAGTATTAAAACAAGAGTACATGTGATGTGGACTAGAAAACATATGTAATTAAATAACCTTATTCATCTTAGAAGGAGTCGAAGAAACTACTTTTACCACCAGGTAGCTTCATAGTGTCTGATTATTTTTTTGTTTCTCAGTGGCAAAACACTGCCTTGAAAAAGGAACCTACCATGATGTTTGGGGAGCAAAACATCCTACAGGTGTCCCGTGTCTCTTGCTATTCTCCACAGGGCCAATCTTATTTGGATTGAGGAGATTCCTTTTAAGATAAATTTGTGTTGAGTTCAGTAGTGTTGAGTTCATTCTATTCCTTGCTTTTATGAGTATCCAGGACATGTGGTAGAGGATGATTAGAGAGCACGTTCCTTTCCCCAGTACGGAAATCCAACCACATCTCCAGCATACACCAAGAGCAGAAAAAGCCTTGTCTTATCAGAGTTGTGCTGAAGCAATAAGCAGCCCAGTGTGGGATGCAGAGATTAAGAACAAGATGTTTCGACCCATCTTTATATCTTCCTACTAAGTACATCACAGTGTTTCATGCAGGAGACGGGGGCAGATGGACAGGTGGAAGGCAGTCTGGTAGCTCTTCTTCGTAGCTTTATACTGTGTGTAAGAAGTATTACTTGAACCAGTAAAAAAATGCAGAATTAAAATAGAGTGTAATGTAGGGGAAATGTGGGCCTTCTAAATGTTGATCTATTCCTCAGTACAGGTTTCCTCCCAGGCAATGACTGCCACTGACAAAATAAACTCTATCTGGACAACCCAGAACATCCCAGGAGGCTCCTCACACACCTCATTGAATCTTATTTTTGTCTCAGCCTTTCTTTCTTGGTGAAAGAAAGTACATCTCTAGATGTACTGCATAGCATGGCACATATCAGAGTTCTTTACATTTTATAAGCTCTTAGAAGGCACTTATTAACCTTAATATGAACCACGGAGCTGAGCAGATGAAGGGTTCATTACACGTTTGTTGGATGAAATATAGGAACCTGGAATATGTCCACAAAAGCATCCTGGATACCAAATATTAATCTGTGTTATAAGAAGGACTACAAAAAAAAAGAAAAGAAAAAAGAAGGACTACAGATATTTTGCTTGCAGAAGAGAAGACCAGACAAGTGAGATTTTAGAGAGAGGATATAGATGGTAAAAAAGATTTTATGTGATGAAAAAAATACCAACCAAGAAGTGACTGCATTAGTTCTACAGGTCATTAAAAGTTCAGACCAAGAGCAATAAGCAGAGGCTGCAATAAGGAAAGATATTTAAGTAAGTACATTACAAAGCCTTCTTAGAGCCAGAGCCTGACACCACCACTCCAAAGATCAGCAAAAAAATCTTCTCTCAAATTGTAGGTATTCAAAATAAGCACTAACACCAGCTCCCTGTGATGCTGTGATTCACTGAAGTATTGTTGTTGTGTGGGTATGTCAGTGGGGAGATGCTGGATGACCTTGAAGATGATTTCCAGCCCTGTGAGTGTGTGATGTTATGACTGACTCTCCTTGCTTGAACATAAAAACAGAAACAACAACAAAATTGACACCAAACAGTTACCTGTTTTCTTTTTTTAAAAATCTGCTTTTGTATATGACTAATGGTCATATGAACTAATATATGTGAGTGAGACTAAAGATAGTACACTGATAGTTGTTACTACTATAAAAAGAGAAATTAAGACTTAGGCCCTGTGCTTTATTCAAGTGCAGCACCTTCTCCATACTCTGACACAGAAGACACAGGACATCTATATAGTAATTGTTTTAGGCCTTTTTGGGATGGGATATACAGTCACTGTTGCCACTGCTCAACTCCACTGTTAAGCATTGAAGTAGCCATTGATAATATGCACATAGGCATAGCTTAAAAAACAAATGAAAACTGCCTCCCAGGATGCCCAAAAGATCAGGCTAGATTGGGCCCATGGGCCTTAGTTTGTTGATCTCCAAAGCTTTGTTCCTCTCTCATTTGAAAATAAGAAAATGTATACAAGGTAAAGGAATGGTTTCTTTGTGGCCATACTTACTCCATTTGCTTTGCTGAGTGCCTGGAAGTAGATGCTGTAGCTTTTCAGTGGGGAGAGAGGAGGGTTCCAGTAGCCATTGTATGTTTTGTTGTCACCCACTGTAAATGGTTGGGTGACAGGCAGACTGGCTGGCTTCAACTCAGCAGCAAAGTAGTGCAGCGAATCCAGGCTGGAGGCATTCCTATAGCTCACAGGTACTGAGAAGCACTCGATGATGTCAGCTGCCCTTCGTGACTTCTGAAGTCGCTCCTCCTTGACAACCAGCTGATATACACTAGGCAGGAAAGGAAAGAGATGGATGAGAAAGACTTTGGAGGGATTAGCTCATTAGTTTTCATGGTGTGAGCCCAACTTTCCCAATCTGGAAACATCACAATCACTGCTGTCTACAATGAGCTCCCTTTCCTCATAGATCAAGATTTTCAAACCCACTGCTTTGTAGAAATCTCTCTCCTTTCAGAGGCCACAAAGTCAGCTCATACTGGACACGTCCAAAACTCAGCTCAGTCTCAGCTCCTACAAACCTGCTGCACCTCCTTCTACATATCTTTCCTTCGTGAAGGGCGGCACCATGTGTCAGGTGGACAGATCCTGAATGTAGGGTTCATTTCCTTCCTCCTAGTCCTTCCTTTTCATTTCTAATTAACAACGCCTGGGTACTTGCCCTCAGCAGTGATGCTTTGCCTCCGTTATCCTTCCATTGCTCATGTCTGATGTGGGCACTTTTGTGCCTCTCACCTAGATCCACCTAGGCTCTTTGTCCCTAATTTATTGGGCCAGTTAACCAACTCATCCATTGATCTTCCTATCTGTATAACAGCGTCCCATAGGCTCTCAATTGTCCAAATTATTCAACCACACCCTTTATCATCATGGCATGCGGAGCCCTTTGGTTTGGCAACCAGACTTTATTTCTGAAGGCCTTCTCCTGATGCCCTCTTCATTCCAGCTGCTTCAGAAGCCATGCAATTGTACAGATATCTTTTGGACCTCACCTCAAAAGATATTTAGCTGGTGCTTCCTCTCCCTGAAATACCCTCAAGTTCTGCCCACCTCAACCTGTGGAAGCCTGCACCCAAAGGCTGAGTGTTTTTTCTCCCTCCCATATAATTCCTGTCTGTATCTGCTCAGTTTGGATGAAAACGATCTCTCTCCCTCTCCCTCTTTCTCCTTCCCTCCCTCCCTCTCCCTCTCTCTTCTATCTCTGTCAGACACACACACAGACACATACACATGTGTACTTTGTTCCTCTATAATTCATTAACTACTTTCTGATTGGCTCTGTAGTAAATGAGATGGAATTGTTGTCTCACTGACTAGAGACTGTCTCCTTCTAGAAAGTTGGGATGATGGCTTGGTTGTTTGTGAATCATCCCCAAATACACACACACACACACACACACACACACACACACACACACACTGCCTAGCAGGATGCTTGATATCAAGCAAGTGATCAATGTATGTGCAATGAAATGAATCAAACCTGCATGAAACTGAACCTGACTGGATACAGAAACTTCAGTCAAGGAAAACAGTGATTCCCTGGGACTCCTGTCTAGTGATCGCATATTATTCCCTTCAATTCAGAAGTATGCAAAAAATTATTAGTTTTACATAAGATGATTGAGCTTTTATTGAATATCCACTTTATGCTGAATGCAGAGATTCTCTTTGTAAAAGTTATTCTAAAGTTTGTGAATTGGATAACATATCCCCATCTTTTTGAATGCTTGCAGTGTGCATTTACCTTGAATAAATGCTATTCCTTTAGAAGACCTTTATTGTATAGATCCCTGGAACCCATTATCTGAGATGAAAGATGAATTGCCCAAAGAGTGCCCCAAATGAGACTTACATAAATTAATGAGGTGGTTGCAACAGAGGACCCAAACCAAACATTTAAAGATGGCACAGAGAAAGAATTAGCATACTGTTCATGAAAATGAAAATGTGTTTCCATCCCTTGATCAGATTATCGGTCCAAAGATACATGGTTAAAACATTCATCTAGTACCACCAAAACAACAACAAAAAAGACATTCAACTTGGGTAAACACCGAGGCACAGAATGAGTTCACTAAGGAGAATAAAAGCTACAGCCCCCTCTGAAAAATACGTAATATCCTTGATATGGCAACTGTTCCCTGAACTCCCCTGAGCATGGGGATGGTTAAACATGCACATGGGAAAGCAATGGGCTTGGGGGCCCATATGATACACTTGGATGAGCGTGAAATACGAGTGGAGGTGAGCAACAAATCAACAAGCCTGCCTACTGTTTTAGAGATCTTGACAGCCCAGAGCTCATGTGAGTGAGACGGAAGCGAACGTCAGAGGGTGCACACCATGTCTGAGTGTGTGCAGCGTCCCAGTGAGGATGTGCAGCACCCGGTGTCTCACTCCAAGTGAGGGTGACTTCCAGATGGAATGCAACTCAGCTGAGTGTTATGACATCTGATCATGTGTAGATGAGTGACATCGTTCTATGTTCATAAAGCCAGTGGAGGCAATTAAATGTTTAAAGTAAATTATGGTTTCAATTCTCATTCCTTCTTCAACTCTGGGGTTATTCTCAAATGAACAATCATGGCATTTGTCAGGACAGCTAAAGTCAAAGCAGTCAGTGGAAAGCAGCACAAAGACCTAAAAATCCAAACTTAAGAGTCATGTGTTGGGAACGGAGGGGCACTCGCAGCAGAGTCTTCAGGACCTGCACTGATGTTTATGTAAAACAATCTCAAGTAAAATTTGAATCTGAAACCGTACTTATGGTAGCTTGACTGATTGCGGGTTCATTCCTCCTGGGGCTCTGGTCTTTGAAGAAAGGCAAGAGTCAGAGAAAAGTAGAAGAGTGATTTTATGAAGCAACCAATCTTCTGCTGAGGTGAGCAATGACATCTAAACATACTGTGCATTGGATTTGGGGGCATAGAATTGATCCAGCCCCCATACATTCCTGACTAATAGTCTCATCCTCAACATCAAGGGATGGAAAGTGCCATAGGCCTGTGTTTCTCATAAAGCTTTGTCCGTACCTTGCCATCACTTTGGTTTATTATGTCTACAGGACAAGACCTTTGCCTTGGTTTCTCATATAGTCTTCTCATTCTAGCTTCTGTCATCCTTGCTCTCTAAACGGAAGCCCCAAAGTCTTGTGAGATTCCTAGGAGCTAAATCACCCCTTTAGAATCACTTTCTACTACCCCCGCCTTTCCTTGATGGGAAGGACCAGGAAGAGCCCAAGGCAGGCCTCGTGTACATGAGACAAGCATGAGATTCTGCAGTTACGGAAAGAAGGGTTCTACTGAGCTCTGAACATCTGAACATTTGAATGCTGTCAAGACACAGCCTTTTTATAGAGGATAACTTGTAACCCTACTGTCTACTTCTCTTATCAACCTGAATTTGAATTTCCCTTTGTTCATTCAACCAAACTCAATTCCAGATTAGATGATGATGCTGAACCTAAGGGGCTAAGTGATGTATGAGTATCAAATGTCAGCAAAAGCAGAATGTCAGACGTTTCCTTCACAGTTTAAGTATCCTTTCTTTCTTTCTTCTCCCTTCATTCTTCTCACACAAACTAATACATTAACTGAAGGGATATCTGAGGATGTTTCTCCTTTGCTTTTTTGCTTTTTTTTTTTTTTTTTATATTGGTGGCCTAGCCTTAATCTCAACCAGCTTCATGAGGCCACAAAGATTAAAAAGGAATATTCTGGATGTTAACCATACAGTCAACATTTGGTTCACATACAATTGGGATTATTGTGCCAAAACGTACTCAGCAACTCCCTGAGGCTCCCTGCCTCTGCAGCTTGTCCATTCGGAGCCTAATCTGCAATGGCAACCAGAAAGACACAAACCATCTTGGCAGATAAATCTGTTACCAAGGCATACAGCCCCCCTCAAAGACTAGGGAGCTATGACTAAAAAGGAAGAGAGAAGAAACAACACATGGCAGTTGTATGAGTTTCTTTTCCTTGATGGAAACATGTCAGGACGCCATGGGGGAGGTGGCCCCAGTAGCCTAAGGGCAGCTTTCCAAAGGAGGTTACTCCTTGCATCAAAGCATGGAGCAGCAGGGAGATGGGCATCCAGTAGATAAGGGAAATTGACAGTATCTGTGTGAGTGGCCACAGTGGCCCCTACAGGGCACTTTTGAGTAATGACCACATGGGACTTGTATGAGATGACAACTCTATCTTGGCAAGGTATTTTTTTAACCTTTGCTTCCAGCCCCATGCAGCTGAGGCATATGGTAACTTTTCATCAGTCACACGACATTTCTACTCCAGATTTTTAAAGTGAGAACAGGGAAGAGTTATCATAGAATCTTACGAGGTTTATACGAGCTTAGTTGTTCTCAACTATTGGCTACACATTATAATCACCAGAAGCCTTTTAAAAATGCTTTTTCCTTGGCCCTGTAGCAACTGAATTAGAATTTGTAGGGATGAGACCATAGCAACAGTAGGGTTTTTAAAGCATTCAAGATGGTTTCAATATATAGTTACAAAGCCACAAACCTAGGTGATTCTGGCATTTGTACTTCATCTCCAACAGGTACATCCTCTACCATCATTCCATCATTCTTGCTTTCTTAAAAATCATTGATTTCAGAGCCAGGGATTTAGCTCAGTGGTTCCACTGCCTGCCTCACAAGTGCAAGGTCCCGAGTTCCATTCCCAGTACCAAAAAGAAAAATCATTGATTTGAATTATCCCAAGTTCACCAAAGCATTTCTTTATAATTACTAGTCATCACCTTTCACATCTTAAGTCAGCATGTGTCATATCTCCTGGGTTTGTTTTCCTATAGCTTTTACCACAACTAAAGCATCTTTGCTGATTTGTTTATTGGCTTCAAGGCTGTGCCCCCATAGTCTGTGAATTTCATAAGATCTCAAATCTTTCTGTTTAGTTCATTGGCGTTAATCCATGATAAACACATAAAACTTGTTTTCTGAGTATTCATTAAAGAAATAAATTTACAAAATGGATTTTAAGTACATATATCACTTCTTAAGACATACCTTCATACATTTCTATTTTCTATTTATTTGTCCACAATGCCTTTTTCACTTAGATCAAATGTCACCTTTCTGAGGAGCCTCTCTTGACTTGCAAACCAGAGCTGGCTTCTCTTTTCTCTTAGTCTGTACTGCATTCATAGCTCTCACTGTTTATGTACTACAACGGTGGCTGGTTGTTTATTTAATAACTCCTAGGCAGTATGTTAACCTCATTCCAGCTAGTTCATTTGACCCTC